GGGATAGATATCCTTTTTGAACTGTGGGCATGTTTGGCAATTTGTGAAACTGGGCACCCCTACAAAATGGCTGCCATTGGACCAAGTACAAATAAACTGCCCAAAAGGACTAGTACAAAACAAAAAGTGAAATTTAGCCCCAATATGCAAAAGATCCCTTTGAATCCACAATTTTTAGCACCAACAGAAACTTCTTTCAGAGGAACCCCAGCAGTCATCAAGTGAATGGATGATTAAAAGTCCACAGTGGGAAGAGTATGGAAACTTGATAGATTCTAAGAAAGGTGTCCAGTGATGCATTGGTACCCTCAGACACACTGTTGCCTAGTCCTGCTGTAGACTCAGTTCAGTGAGAAACAGTTGTCAGCAACTATACGTAATTCAGTTTGAAGCCTATCGTGTACTGTGGTGCAGAGAGGGGCCCAGCTCTTGCTCATTCGTCTGCTCAGATTCATCCGATTCTAAGGAAGACGTGGAGGGGCAGAGATGGGCAGATGACTTGGCAGTCTCAAAGCTTCTTAGTGAAAATTATCAGGCAAAGCCCAGGATGGATATGGAGATGGAGATGGAAAACTCACACTCCATGACTGGAAGTCCACTGGTATAATGTTGGATTTAGCCCATGGTGTTCAGTCTTCAGAACAAACAGCCTCCTTTAATTAACACTGTGGTCCCATATGCTCCAAGACTTCTTTCACTAGCCAGCACATATCTGCTTCTGCCATTCTCATCTGAAATGGAATCATCCATTGCCAATATCTAATAAGTCACTTCACCATTATATTTGTGATACTGAATATTTCAAAAAATTGTTCTGGCCAGTTAATTGCCTGCAACAGTTTAAACTGCTGGTCAAATCCAGCCAAAAGAGGGAGGAATGGAAGATCCTAATATGCAAGCCACTGGAACTTGCCGTCATGGGAATCTTAGAAACATAGAAACACACAAACAGAGTCAGAAGGATCCTCCTGGGCCATCTAGTCTGACCCCTGGCTCCAGCCAGCTCTGCTCATGTAATTCCCAACATGCAGTTGCCCAGTCTTGGTGGTTGATGGGGCCTCAATCACCTCCCTTGGAAACCCATTCCATATCCTAGGGGCCCTAAATACCAGGAAGTCTTCCTAATGTCCAACCTGAAGCCTGGTTCTGTCTGTCTTAGAAGCAGACAGTTCTAAGCTTTCAGTCATTCTCTCCAGTTAAGAATCTCAGATTTATGGTAGATGACTAAATACGTACAAAATCACCAGCATTTCTAAAACACACACACACACAGAGTTCATCCAATAGTATCTTGGCTTGTTTAACTTGCTGGAATAGGCAAATGGGGCAACACACACTATACGTAGCATAAACCTAAGATCACAGTAATTAGTCCCAATAACTTGGAATAACCAAGTAGAGGACTGCCAAAACAGATTAAAATACCATATATGCTTCTTGAAAGAGTGGGGAAATTTATTCTTTTATAATTATTAAATTAATTTTATTATAAGCCCAGAAAATATAATCAATAATATATACACCAAGATATGTGGCAGAAAGTCAATTCCTAGATGCTTTGGACTTCAACTCCCAGCTTTCCAACCATTGGCCATGCTGACAGAGGTTTCTGGGGGTTGAAGTCTAACACAGCTGGAAATCTACTGATTGTTCATTCTTTCATTAATAGATCAATAACCTACACATTTTGTTTTGCCTTCCATAGTGTATAGAAGCTTTGATGAGTAGTACAGTTTATAGAGGGGAATTGGCACAGGGAGAATAGTTGAAAGTCTTCTGTCTAGTGCAAATTTCCACCCCATGATTTCAGCAATAAAAAGTGTCATATCCATTAAATCACATATAGTCTGTATCTCAACAATGCTGTTTTTTGTTTCTTTAGAGTAGCCAAAACTAGGAGATGTAGGGATGGATCCAGATT